TTTTACTCCTGAGGACGTGGTAAGTGCCTTTACATAATCTCACAATAATCCTATTGGATAGATGTAAACATTCTCCCTTTTAAAGGGAAAAAGTTGAAAGTTAACTGAATAGATAATAGGGAGCCGAGCTGATTTTCCTTTTCTGTTACACATGTCCAAATATTTATTCACTGTTACTGATACCTGCTACATTTCCCAGGCTACTTTCAGAATAACATAGGCTATAACCTACTGGTATAAATGGACTTTTATTTTTATTTGAGAGCTTAAGAGCAGCCCGTGGAGTCAGGCTGCCTGCTCTGCCAGGTTCCCAGCTCCAACAGGGAAGCTGACTGGCGATGGATTTACCTCTGTCTGGTGCTTATCAAGAATGGAATCAGAAGTCTTCTATTTTTGCACGTTAGTTTCCTCTTGACTAGGGGATAAAAGTTATCCCAAACTCCAGGAGAGTGACAAGCTAGAGCAGTGAGACAATGGTTGTCGATATTTTTAAGAACATTAGCAACAAATACACTTACAGATCGTTTTCGTGACTAGTCTCCTTTCTTCTGTCTGACTGCTACTTTGCTGCAATTAAAACTGAGTCATCTTGTTGGAGCTCCTCTACAAAGAAAAGCTGATTACATTGCTTGGGAAACAGAACATGAGGTATAGGTGTATATCTACATCTGTGTACTTATTTCTTTGTAGAATTTCCGTATTTATCTACCCACTAACTCACATTCATAAGATGTAATGTGTTTTTGTTCTTTGTTTCGTTTCTTTTTAAAACTTTATTTAAACAAGCCTCATTCTACTTTTCAGCTTCTATCTAGCCAGGCTGATGGAAAGTCAGTCTCTATTATTTTGAGCTCTCCTCTTGCCCCAGGTCTCATCTTGCACTGAAACTTGTAGAAAGCTTGTCTGTTTCAGTCATCAGCCACTGATGTCTCCATTTCCTATTCATTATGGTACCTTGAAGCCCTTTCATTTCATCGCATCCAACCTAATCTCGAGACAAGGCAATCTTTGGTGAAGCTGACCAGTGACTGATGATCAGCCTCCTTAGATGCATATTGTAGCCCTTCTCTGTGGGTGGTCCTCCCTCAGCAGGCGCCGACTCAGAACACTGCACAAAGCTTTACTCTCCTGGCACTGACCTTTGTCCTTCTGTCTTCTCCCCAGTCACTCTCTCTCTCTCTGTCTCTCTCTCTCTCTCTCTCTCTGTCATTTTCCTTCTCCCTTTCCCTCTTTTTTCTCCCTCAACCCTCAAAGATTCTTTTCCCCCTCAATAGACACCTCACATTTTCTCTCTCATGAGATTAAAGAAGGGCAAATCTATTTAGTTCAGGCGGCTCTTGCTTTCAGCACTGTTGAAATCCCTAGGGCACATGCTTTATACTACAGCCAAAACTATGAGAGAGCAAAACACAAATTATCTCCAAAATTATTTTACCACTGTCTTATGTACATTTACATAAAGCGATCACATCGCACATTAGCCTTCTTTTGTCCAAACAAAATGAACCTTCAGCACTTGCTCAAAAGCTTTTTTCTTCAGTCCTTTAATCATTTATGATATTTCTTTCTGGACCTCATCCAAATATTCTCCTTTCTGAAATTCAAAGATCAAAACTGGAATCAGTTCTCTGATAATGATCTGATGGAAGCAATTATAGTTTCAACTTATTGTGTATCTCTCTCTCCTTTCTTTTTTCCTTTTTTAAACATTTTTTATCAGACACATTTAGGTTTGATACCAGGCTTCTTTCCTGTCTTTTCTTGAGTTGTTTTTCTGGGCATATGTACTTGCTCTTCAAAGCAACGGTTAGATACTATTTGAAAGTGTCACTCCTGGAGCCTTGCCTTTTTTGACAAGAAGATAGTCCTATTTTCTAGATAACTTTTTAAAACTAAAAAAGTCAAATGGGAAGAAGCATGTAGAAAGTGATACCAGGGAAAAATTAAATTAAAACAGTTAAATATGTCAGGTTTTTTTGTTGTTTTTAATTCAGAAAATAGAATATGCAAATAGATAAGAATGAGCAGGAACAACTTTAGAGACCAAATACAGTGTCAACATACTTTGGGTTCTTCCACCTTTGCACGCTGAGCCAACTATTTCTTACTGTACTGTCATCTATTCTTTTCGTAGAAAAAATATGCATCTCTAGAGTACTGCAGGTGTGTTTTAATAGAACCAAAGAATCCCAGGAATGTAGAGATGAAAGTAATTTTAGAGGCCACTTAATCTAATCTAACAACTGACAAGAATCATACCTGCCAGTTTCCAAGAGGTGACAGGATCCCAATTGTAAAAGGAAAGGAATATGGTTTTTCCATTAGGCAGACAGGGATAAAAATGCCCTCTCTGCTACTTGAGCAGGTTTTGTATCCCTTTTGAGCTTGTGGAGATAACACCAGCCAGTTTGATCTTTTGTAAGGAATTAATAAGATAATATCTACAAAGCAGCTATCACATGATAGGCTATGATACATAGATCTCTTTCTTTGCTTCAGATAGTTCCATTGCTTTCCAAGGTAGCCCAGACTTTACACTACAGAACCTTTGATTATCTGAAATCGACAACTATTTAATCTTAAATTTTCCTCTTTTCCAAGCCAATGGAATTCTCATTCTCACTGTCTTCAGTCTTTTCTGATATGCCAGGTTCCCAAGTCTGCTGTCGTCTTCCAGGTTAGCAGGCCCTGCTCTCTCTGCTTCACGGGAGCCCTCCCCTTAGCATGCCATGTCCAGAAATGCATGCAGTGCCCTAGGGGGTGGCCTCAAGCTTCCTCTGAGGGTGTATTTTGGTTAACACAACTCTTTCTTTTATAGCAAACTTGTCCAGGATCATTAGAAACACTCTATGACCCAGACACTTAAAGCAGTGACCGTGTCTTATGTCTTCCAAGTAATTCATTTAGGGGCTTTTCTTGTGGTTGACATATTTTGAATTAGATTCTGAAATCTATTTAGAATAAAAAAGGCATTTTAAATGTGGCTGGTGATCCAGTGGCCATAAGGGCTAATTTTGCTTCTAGGCCACTGGAAATTATCCCACCCTTGATATGCTTTTATTAGAATTTCCCCTACACTTGAATGGTTGCACAGTTTTTAAAAAGTTTTGGAAATCTACTTTTAATAATCTAACTATATATTGAACTTTAGGAAAGTTTTGGTAGATAATTGTCATCTAAGAGTATTTTGAGTTGTTAAATTTCATGGACGTTGATCTAAGCTGAAAACAAAATTCTACTTTATTTCACCAGATTATCATATAAGCAAAGTTTGAACCAGGGAAACTACATTCTCAGGATCCTTTCCTTTCAACTTGCTGTTGTAGAAGCACTGAGAAGTCCGCTAAATTTATTTCCTCATCTATAAAACGTGTACATTCAACTTGAAGGTTTTTTAAAGGCACTTTTACATCTGAGAATCTATGATTCTGTTTTTTGTACCACTCCCAAAGCTCTTATTGATGCCAGACTTACATTATATTCATTTTTAGCCAGATATGCCAGTTTAACATCTGATACAATTCAGCAGTCTAGGGTCTGAAACATGGTGCTCTATAAAGATCGATTCATCAGATGAATGTAGAGTCAAATAAAGCTCTGTAAGATATTGGCTTTAAACTCTGGGCTCATAATTTCAAGGTGGTATGCCCATAGCTCTGAACTTGGATGTAATTAACTGCAAAATGCTCTCATTTTAGCATGGGAAATCAGCTTGCTAGTCAAAAGGAAAGATTTTTCAATTCAATTTTAATTGGTAATTTTCCTTTGGGGGACCTTGAAGAGCTATAGTAGTTAAAGGAATGAAATATCAAAACTATTAATGAATAATTACCCAGCAGGACTCTAACTTTTATTATTAGAGTCTGAATGATTGGAGAGGATGCCTGCAGTGGGGGACTTGTGATCTAGGATACAGCAGTAGTCACTGACAGAAAAGAGAGGGAAATAAGCAAATATCATCAAGTCACGCACATTGGGTCTTAGTTACGCAAGGTCTCCTTATGTAGGCAGTGATGTGCTTAAAAGTGAGACATTTACTTTTACTTGTTCCTATTTTAAGTGATTGCTTTGATAGGTCTTTGAAGAAAAAAATTATTTTCTATCCTTCAGATTCAGTAACTGCCCTTAAATGTCTGATCATGTCATATATTCAGTGGAGACAATATTGTCACTTGCTTCCATGGTGATCTACAGTGAGTGATGGCTAAGACTAATGACATTGGATTGTCAGGGGCTCTTCCAAGGCGGCCACTAATTAATTATTTGTCATAATCTCCCTGTGAGGAAATTACTAATCTTATTACTTAATTGATCCTTTGCAGTTTGCACTTGCAGAGTGCATAAAAATTCATCTGCGGCCGTGAAGAAATGACCATTCGTGCTATCCTTAGCAGGAAGCAAGGAAGCGGCCCTGAGAGCACCTGTGTTCACTCCGTGACACGGACATGGGCCTCAAACTTTAAGTTCTGTGACAGCCTCATAGGCCATGTTGCTTTCAATTCCAGCTGAATCATAGAATGATTATATGTGAGGCATTTTAATGTATTTTTCTAATCTCCAGAGATTGAAGTTAGTAAACAGTGAACTAACTCAATTATAAAACTGCCCCTCCAAAAAAAGAAAAAGGCAACATTTTAATTTAGTAATTTTCGCTTGGAAGGCACATACAACAAGCAGACTGGAAAATGCTAAATGTGCTCTGGCAGCTGTAGAAAAAAAGTCATCTGATATAAATTAGTCCCCTATGTTTGGAGTAGGGATTGTTATAAGTTTCCTTTCAAGTTACTTTTTGGCCAGTCGTCTACTCCTCGGTCAGAGCCTGACTGTGTGGCCCTGCTGGGAAAGAGAGAGCATTTCTGTACTATTATATTGATAGATTGTAGCTAATACTTAACCTAAAATTGTAATCAGAATGTCATATTTATATTATGATAGATGATAGATAGATAGATGGTAGGTAGAAAGATAGATAGATAAAGACTGTGCTTCTCTCCTAACAGGGAACACTGGAGAGGAACCATGTTTCCAACAAAGTTGTTAAGATTTGCTACAGGTAATCTTCACCTTAATCCTGGACAGGAGGCAGTGTTAGTGAGGATGACATTAGTGATAGCAGTCATGACAATAGCTAACATTTATTCAGGCCTTATTTTATACCTGGTACTGTGCTAAGTTTTTTGTATATATCATTTTATTTAATCCTTTTAACAATGCATATGGAGACATTTTAATAGAAAGACATTGAGTATTTGCTAAAGTTTATGCAGCTAATAGGTGCTTGAAGCTGAGGAAGGAACAAGCTAAGCGTTACTTCAGGGCTTCTATCTTTACTTTGTGCATCTGAAAGTCCAAGGGGACCCTAACGTCACCTGCCAGCCTCCCTGACATACCTGCACACGTGTTTTGTGACTGAACCCCCTCCACAGCTGTCTGTGTATGGAATGAACTTCTTTGAACTTCTTTGAAAAGTGTTTTTTCCTCATTCTCAGGATTGTTCAAGCATGAAATAGACCAGTTATTTTCAACTATTCTTTTCAACCAGACCACACCATGGTTGATTTGGTGCTTTAAACTAATTTGGTTTGCTCTGTGATCTGTTTGAAATAATTATGACTATTGTTTGTCCAAATGTTGTCACTGGGGTGGTGCGCAAGCAAATTCTTCTGCACAGACCTGAACAGATAATATCGATAAAAGCAAACTGCTCTGATCAGCCCTCTGTCCTTCCAACAGCGCCCCCCCGGCATGCCCGCTGTTGAGCACCATTGGGCTAGAGGAGTGGTTCACAGCCTTGTTTGATTATATATCCCTACTTGTTAGAAAGGTTCTAGCTACACTACCAAGATGTGTATAGTTATTAACACACAAATAATAGAACAATAATAACCATTATTGAATGCTTACGATATGACAGGCTCTGTCTTAAAAACTTTATAAGTGTTGGCTTACATGTGATACTTCACAGCAGCTGTAAGAAGTAGGTCTTATTTTTATTAACACCATTTTACAGATAAGGAAATTGAGACATGAAATGTTAAATAATTTTCCCTGGACCACTTAACCAGCAAATGACTGAACCACGCTTGGACCCAGGTGGTCTGACTCCAGAGTCCATGCTTTTATTGACTATCCCACAGCTGCCTCTCTGTGTGTTACTCTACTAGCAAAGAATATGCTTTATAGAATATAAGAAAAATAGAAATTTTAAAAGAATGAAATGAACATTGGTAATAACTGTACAAACAAATAAAATATTTCTCTGGGATGAGCAATGTAGGAAATTTTAAGCAACCTGAGAAGCCAATTCAAGAAGTAATATAGGACAAGGAAGCTTTTCTTAGTCACGTTCAAAGGTATCAATACCTTAAAATCTACTGTATATTTCCCACCTAATGTGCAGTAGAAAGTTCTTGTTCAATTGACAATGGGAATTATGCCAGTCTAAAATAAGCCTCCATTTTGCTCAATAAACCATTTGTTTTCCAGATAAGCTTCTATTTCACTTTGTCATTTGATCCGTAGTTCTTAGGTCTTACCAAAAAATAAGGGAGCACCGGAGCACAGCACAGAGTGATTGCTTTGGTGTTTTCAATGAAGTCAGATTGCTGTTTGAAGTCGTTATGACTGCCGCTTGTCCAAATGTGGCCACTAATGTGGTCAAGACCTGGTCAGAAATTTCTGTATAGGGGTTTTCAGGAGCTGCAACTGGTTGAAGGAGACCCTGCAAGCTAAGATGCCTGTTTAGAAGCTGCCTTTGCATGGCGCTTCATGAGACTGAGCAACAACCAGTTTTCTGCGTCAACACCTCGAGGATGTGATAAAGATCAAACTACCCCTTGACAACTGCGTGTGATCGAAATTCGAATACTCTGAATAATGATGAAATATACCACAGAAAAGAATTTTTATTTTCAACATATATCATTATGGCATGTTTCAGATTTGCTATAATTGGAGCTGCTTTTAAGCCCAGTTACAAATGCCCATTTTTTACATACACAGAAAATACACCACCTGGAAATTTACAATCTTTTATTTTCCAAAGTGTCGTTCTGCAAATATGGATCTCTTTTAAGATCAGGAGTCCATAGGAGATAGATTTGGCCTCATCTAAGTAAAATGAGCAAGAGGAAACATAATTTATGAGCTGTGTTAACAGAAGGGCACCGAGTTGGGTTTTGTTAAACTAATCTTATGGCTGGCAAGGATGACATGTCAGATGTTTCGTTCATTTTAAATACCAGACCACTTCCATAAATCATTTTTATAATGTTAAGTGCATTATATAGGTACAATACCAAGAGACATGTATTTAAATGTGCCAGACAGATCCATTTGCTTCACTACATACTGTGTATCTCATTTCATTTTCCAAAGATGCATTTATCAGATTATTTTTTATGGGCTGACCCGTATTTTAGTCTTATTCACGTGGTCTTGTTTATTGGTGCTCTTATGCTTATTTGATTCTCCCTTGCACATACAGATTCAACCCATGTGAATATCATCATAATGTTCTCTAAGGAATCTCCTTTTTTAATACATTTGCCAATGTTATACAGTCAGAAAAAAGTATACGGGATGCATTTGGGGCTGTTTAGCATAAAAACTTCATCTGAAACAGCTGTATTGTATGAGACACTATGTTGTATTTCCGAATATTTAAGGTTGAGTTTCTTTACTGTGTGAATGCTATACTATTTTCTTTTCTCCCCTAAATCCGCCCTGTTTAACAGCAGACAAACCCAGGGAGCACTGAATGAATCCGATGATCCTGAAACAGGCTGTCTAACTGATAACAAGCCAACTTCTCGACACTTCTATCCTGTCGCCTTGCTGCTTGTCAGCTCACACCTGCTAGTTGTGTGGCTTATTTTAAGTCTTGCGTTACTGTTAGCCAAATACCAATAAGTTTTACGTTGTATTCCTTTCTTTTCTACAAATGACAATGGACTTTAAATTATGGGGACGATGCTGTAATATTTCTACATTTTCAGATTCACAGAATTTAAAAACAAAACCAGTGTTTGAACTGTAAGTGTTTTCTTTGTTTTTCCTAAAAATCTAAAAAGAGAAGTACTATGCATTAAGTGAATTATTTTGCTCTTTTGTTCATGGAAAAGTGTTTCCCACTGTTAACCAGCTCGAGAAGAATTTTTAAACTACTGTCTTTGGAATAAGACAAAGAACAGAATCCTGAAAGCTTGAAGTTCTGCACCTCCTGTTCCTCTTCCCATTAAAGTTATTAAAGAAATTCAGATTGAATTTGCACAACCCATTGAAACCCTGAGACAAGTCCTAGAGATGTGGGAGGTTCCAGACTTTGTTTCCACTGTGCTAATGTCACTGTTTCCATCAGCTGATAGAACCTTCTGTTTGAGTTCTTAACCTGTTAGTTATGTTATTTCCTTGCCGCAATTAACCCTTTTCTGTCAAGTAACTTTATGGAGAGAATGGCTATTTATGTTTTGTAATTAAATTAACCTGTTTGGAACTATTGTTTGGTTGATTTGGCTTTCAGAGTACTTTTCTATTCTTTTTAACAAGGTCTTGTTTGTGTCTTGAGGCACCGTTTTCCGCACCTGTGACTTTTGTACTTTCCGTGCACAAGCATTCTTCCTCCATAAAGCTGAGGCTTGGACCAGGATGTCCAGAAAGCCATTTTTTTCTCTTCGTTGCACAGCTAAAGTAATTAAGTAAAATAGAAATGAAACTTTCCTTTAAAAATCTATAGGGCCAGACTTAATCAATTAAATGCCTTATTCCTAGAATCTGCATCCTTAGGGCTACATATAGATTTTAATGTGTTTTAAAGAGACTGAGAAATTAATTTGTGAAAAAGATAGAAGAAGGCAGATATATTTATGAAATTAAAGTGAAGCTGTATTGTGGAGCAAAGTATATTTAAAGAGTTTATTAAACCTTAAATATCTGTTAAGAGCAAAGAGACTTTAATCATCTCTTTCCGTGGGCAATAATGGTATTGGGCCTGGCCTAGGATTTAATTTTGTAAGATGTATCATCATTTGTGAAAAAAAAAAATGTAGAGTTGAATCTTTGTTATTTTTACTTGGACTGTTGCTGCAACTCTGCATTGAACAAATAAAGCATATTTCTTTATTCTGTGTTTCATGAAGTTGTACTTTTTCCCCTTTCACCAGAGAAGGATGCCGCATAGAGAATGTACTGAAGAATATCAAATGCAGAAAGTATGCTTTCAACATGCTACAGCTGATGGCTTTCCCCAAGTACTACAGACCTCCAGAGGGGACTTACGGAAAAGCTGACACCTAAGTTTACCAACATGTAAATAAACAGAAACACAAATACGCTCCAGTTGGATAATCTCCAACTTTTTATTTTTTTTTTACTGTCATAAATTTGTGGAGGGAAGTGATCAGGAATGTGTGCCCCAATCTAGAAATTACTGAATTAGTTATCAGTATATTATTCTGAAAGAAACCCATTTAAAATAATTCTAAAATAATACTGTGTTTCTAGTTCTAAGCTTCTTTGTATCGACCCCCGCTGGTTGAGATCAGCTCGGAAAGTGTAAATTTCATTCATTAAGTATTTTAAGGAAAGACATCCTGAGAAAACACAGGTTGCTACAAGAGGACTAGAGGTGATTCAGAGAGTGACACTCTCCCTCCGAAATGAAGATAGGAGAGTGTAAAGGGCAGAGAGACTTGGAGATATTATTTCACAGCCTTTCTCACACATAACCTTAGAGCCCATCTGTGGGATTTAAAAAGTATTTTTCTAGTGGACTGAAATTAGGTAGAGTTAACTCATGATCTTGACTATGGAACAATTTACAAGTGTGCTTGTAAAGACTTGTGTCATCCAACAGAGGTGTAACTTCTCCTCCTAAACAGGCAGATGAACAGTAAAGTTACTTTTCAAAAACATGGTATCTTTTCAAAACTCTGACTTGGGTTGTATGGCCCAGTTGTAGAAGTGGCAATAGAAAAAGTTGAACGGTATAATAGGCAAAACATTGCGAGGGACTGCGAGGGACTGCGAAGGAAATTAAAGATGATCAGCCTGTTGATGCCCAGGATAAAAATTCTATCAGCCTGAACTTTATGTAGTCAAGTTCATGAAAGTCAGTAAAATAGCTTTGAGATGTTTTCTATCAGTCATCTTGGCACAGAATATAGAGAGTGTAAGTATGCATTGTCTGGTGTAGATTAGTGTATGTGAAGAAACATTTTAAAACATGTGCAACCACAACTAATGATAGACCAAAACAGTTACTTCTGTTAACCTGAATTTCCAGTTTGTCCTTACTCAATAAAATAACCCCATAAGCTTTCTAAAATTCCAGATTAGAGGTTAATTTAGACATCATCTTGTATAACACCATTATAAATGGGTAAATAAGGCACAAAGGAAAATATGCCCCTAACCTCCCAGCGAGATAATTTTAGAATTGTGGTTACAATCTCTTCTTACCTTCCCTGTCTGTGGCTTGACTCTTCTCCATATTGCCATGCTAAATATACATGAAAATTGGGGGAGAATCCTAATTAGATAGAAATTGGCATTTATTGCTGGAATTGAAGCTTAGAGTACAAAGGTGTGAACAAATGAAATTTATTTTCTCCAAATTTTAAGAATTTACTCTTTCTTCTTTCTCATCAGAGGAGCATGCCATCTAGAGCATAATTTTCCTTGGAAATGCCAGAGGCTTATTTCATAGACATCCCTTACCTATGGCCACGTTCAACAGATGATATTATGGGGCTTTCCATAGCTAATATGATAGCTCTTTGACTAAGATGCCTTTTGAAATTAGGGTTCCAAACAGATCTCTAGGCTTGTGTTGGGTGTTTCAAATTATTACAAATTTTAGATAACCCTTTGGGGCTTTTAATACTAAAATTATCAATCTATTATTTCAGCAAATGACTTGTGGGCATTATACTCAAGGCAATTGCCAAACAATTTACAGCCTTTTTAATAAAAAGATGCTGTGTATTGTGGATCTACTTATGGACAAAGTTATCTTAGTGTTCTCCTTTATACCTCATTCTCCATTTCAATGATTAAATATAATCTTTGAATTGTTCAATTTCATTTGAAAATGGTAGGATTTGCGGTTATTTTCGTTATCCCATTGGATTTAAGGTAAAGAGGCTGGGATGACACAGGTTTTCTTGAATAATTATGAAGCCTCGTTCAGTATATCAAATGGTAATCTGACTTCCAAGAGACCTTAAGTGATTTATGATCCTGCAAATACTCTTATAAACAATAATTTTTATTTGTATTTTTAGAAATGAATGCTCTTGACTTAAATATGGAAAAAATATTTATTAACTAAAAAGCTAACGATAACGTTTTCTATTTTTGGAAGACATTTCAAAGCCTTTTTTCTTTTTTAGTAAGTGCTAATATAAACGTCCAATAGAATAGAACTTACTGTAATACAAATGCATACAAGTTTTTATTTATTATTGACATAGTCATCTGTATTTCCCTATAGGAAGCCTCTATTTGTGCATGCTTTTAAAAGTGGATTTCATCAGGGCCCAGCCCAGTGGTACGGTGGTTAAATTGATGTGCTCTGCTTCAGAGGCCCAGGGTTTGCAGGTTCAGATCCTGAGCACAGACGTTGCACTGCTCGTCAAGCCACACTGTGGCGGCATCCCACATGAAATAGAAGAAGAGTGGCATAGATCTTAGCTCAGTGACAATCTTCCTCAAGCAGAAAGAGGGAGATTGGCAACAGATGTGAGCTCAGGGTCAATCTTCCTCACACACAAAAAATAAATAAAAAATAAAAGTGGATTTCATTAAGAAAATTTCTGTTTCATATCAACAATATTGCTCCTTTCCTGAGAGATGTTCCAAGTATCCTTCGAAAGCATCTTCACTATTTCTTAAGTTGTTAAGGCTTTCTAAATCCAAGAACCAATGTTATACAAAAAATTTGAAAATCTCCTTTGTACAAACACAGCCTCAGTCATGCTTTTCTATCTGTATTTTTGTTTAAAGACACACCAGCCGGCCTATTGTAGGAGATCATGTTGAGCCAGAAACTGAACCAAGAAAATGACATTTCCAAACAAGTGTTTTTCCTCAAAAACATTGCCCCTCTAATATTATCAAATGTAGTTATCAATTCTGTATTAGCCAATTGCAGAGTCTTACAGAAAATATATTTTAAAACAAGGGAAGGTGGAATCATGATTACCTTTGACCCGGTGACAAAAGATCCAGGACCAGGAAATGGTCCATAAAGCAGCTGAACATAAAAGTTTAAAATATTTGATTGAAGCAGAACCACCCTGAGACACACCCATTCATTTATGCGGTTGTTTTCTTCTTGTAAATATCACCTTGGGTTTGTCTACACTCTGCCAAAACAATCTTTCAATGTAAATAGTTTGGTCAGTCTAATAATCCAGTGAGTCAGAGCAACCATTTGATCCAGCTGACAAATTGTGGTAAAATAACCAAGCACCCAGTTAGAGCAGCCTGTCATATACCTAACCTTCAGTCCTTGCTTTATAAGACTAACACTCTTCTAAAGAACCCTCAAGTCATAAAAGCTAGCATCTAGATGGAGGATGCTTCCCATTTTTTTTTTCCTCAAGTAAGATTGGTATTTGGCATAAAATAAGATTCAAGGTATAAAAGAAAAAGATTTGTATACAGTAATGCTTTTCTTCCTAAGCAAACCAAATCCCCCCCAATGTAAATTTTGATATGTGCCAGGAAAAGACGATACGGGTCACATGCTGGAACGGGCTCACGTTTACTCATGAGAGTTAATCATTAAATTTTCAGCAATTTTGTAAGCCAGTAGTAAAACACAACTATGGTTAAATATTAAATTATGAAATAAAATTGAATAAATTTTATTAAAGCAAAGATAAAACTTACTACTTCCTATTTTACTACCTTTTACAAATTTTCTATGTTCTTGAGGTTATTTGTGTTAATTGTATCTGTACAATTGAAATAGTATATTATAGAGATGCATTACTGTGCATATCTTCCTGGCTCCACCTTCGGTAACATCACGTTGGTAGCTTGAAATTGACCCCAGTGGGAGTATTTACACCACAGAAACTGCCAAATGCTACAAATCAGGGTTTTTAATTCCTGGAAAGCCAGTGGATAAACATTTACTGGCACACAACTGAATGCCACCATCATTTTTTCTCCAGAAAATAACAAACAATTGGAAGCAGGATCAAATTATTAAAATGACATTAAATGCAATCACTTATCTTCAGATGGGTGCAATTTTCTTTTGCTTTTTACCCTCTTTAAAGACTCTTATTAGTCTATAAGTAATATTTGATGTTTATATTTTATTCATAATTTATTTAATCATAGAGATGCACTTAAAAATGTATCTCTCTATGATGTTTGGCAAGGGAAATCTTAGCAATGGAGCTTTAGTGTAAGCAATAACAACTCCGGGCTAAATTCAGGGAAATGTCAGCCTAATTAGAGTATTACTGAAAATGTGCTTCAGTATCAATTTTTTAAGTTTATAATTTTAGTATTTGCTAAAAGCACTAAAAACAGTAACATATTACTGTGTGCCAATTCTAGTAAATATGGCTCAATTGGAACCCAAACTGTTAGATTAAGCAAATTAAACTCTGGCAGTATGCTAAATCAACACAGATGTTTTAGGTGTTTGATTTCCAAACAGGATGGCCTATCAATTGTTCAGTTCAATATAAAGGGCGTCTTTTGTAATCCTCTAGGAAATAAATTAACTTTTATCACAGATTTAAGAAACTGAGCTGTGAAAAACTATAATCAACAGTTACAGAGGGAAATGAACATATTGAACGCAAAGCATCCCTAATAGCTGGAAGGTTTAGAAATTATGCACTACTGAAGAGAATGATTTGCTGAGAGTTGTGTAGTTGATTGACAGTTTAGTGTGTGAATTCACGTTCATTTAGCCCAGCTGCAATCTGCAAAAGCTATGCTTTTTACCCCCATATTTATTTTCCGTTGCTTTGTAAAGCAAGTCCAATATATTATATCTTTTGTTTCTTTGGTTGTTTTAAGTTAGAACTTCCTCTCCAAACAGATGCTACAAATAATAACTGCCTTTAAGAACAGAAAATGAAATTAATGTTTTAGATAAAATATTGCAGGCCAATTAGGTATTGAGTTGAGGTATAAGAGTTTGGATTTTTACTTTCTGAGTCATAGTGCAGATGAAACACTCTTTGAATTTTATTTCTAAGCAAGTCAGAGAAAGTCTAAAGCGTTTTTGATGTCAAAGAAAAATCATATCTGACTTTTAGTAACAAGGAGTTGGAAAAAATTGTAAGGTAATATTAACCAACAAAAAAAATGAACATGTAATCAGCTCTCCTGAGTTTGAATTTTTTATAGATTACATGACTATTTATATTTTTAAATTAAAAAAGGAAAAAAAGGCTCACAATGAAGTATAGTACCCAGAGAGTGTGAATGTCAAGGGAGAGAAGACCGCATACAAGTCATGTTGCCTGAAACCATATCTTGCTTATCTTTTAGAAAATATAGCTCTTTAAGAATATGTTGCACTTTCATACACATTCACAATCTTCCTAAAATCATCTAAATTACTTACTCCAAGGTCATAAAAGGGCACAATCCAACCATACATCTTTAATGATGACTTGGTGTTGTTTCATTGACTAGGAGGCGATATTGACTCAAATATTGGCAAGATTGCTGTATTATCTATATAGTTCTTATGATGCTATCACTACCAATATTAAAAAATATTTCATGTCAAAGAACTTTCAAACCTTTAAAAGGCAGACTCCATTTGTCTATGACTATATAGACACTCCCATTTCTCTGCACACGTGCAATCATTTGTACACATATATTTCTCATGTGAATATTTTATTTTATTTAATCTAACACCTAATTTTCAGATTCTTGTGGTACTTATCTGAAACATTGGGATTTGTGGCTTTTTTTATGTTAAATTTATATTCTACATAAACCAATAATTTGTATTCCTAGAAAATGAGGCACAAATAGGTTAGATAATCTTATATTGGCATTTGAAGAAATATCATTTTGTTTTATTGTTCTGTGTAAACCATATTCATTGTACATTGTGTGTATATTTTTGTTTAAATAAATGTGATTTTTATTTTTTATGTTTCTGTCTTTTTCTCCCTATTATATATATTTTTTTCATTTTCATCAGTATAGCAATGTCTAAACATTAGTTAAAATATTAGAAGGGTAGGCTAAACAATATGTCAAAGAGAACAGACTAATTTTATGCTGGACCACAATTACAGTGCAAGTTTTACGTTGATATCATGTTAGTCTCATATTCACTAGCAGAATGCACCTTTCAGAGTTGTTATTCTGCGGGAGCAAGATCAACCACGATTTTAAAAAAGGTTCAAGAACCAGATGTCAGTGCTTCAACCTTGGGCAAATCACTGATCTTTGTAGTCCAGAATACATGTAGAGTCATTTGAGCACTGGAGACAATTTTTCCATGTAGGTATTTGGATCTTATCATTTATAATTCAATATAGCACCT